TATTATTATAGTATAATATATNTATTCTTATATATATATATATATATATTATATATATATATATAATATATNTATAGTNTTNTGTTATTATTATTATTATATATATATATATATATATATATATATGGGTGGGTGGGTGGGTGTTTTTGTGTTTGTGTGTTTATGTGCGGTATATTTATATATATATATAAATGTGTGTGTGTGTGTGCGGTATATATATATATATACCAGGTGCGATCATAAACAAGGTTTGAGGCTTTGCTCTGCCTTGCATTGATTAGACCATTCCCATTGGATTTTCATAACCTTCACGTTTACGGTTGACAGACATGGAGCACTCAGTAAAGAAACCAGCAGCGCTGAGAAGACAAAGTGCGACGTCAACAGTCAGTTCTGGTCACCGCAGTGCAGGGGGATCCTCATCGCAAAAACAAGTACGCTTAACCTACAGTGGGCATAGTGTGTAGGTATCAGTCCGTTTCATAGTACATAGGGCAAGAGAAACCCCTATACCCTACGCGTGTGTGAATCCCTAAACGCTAAACGCTAAACCCTACGTGTATGTGCTGTGTCTGTTAAAGTGCTGCTGAGTGATTCGTCCGCATTTGGGTTCTGTTCTGTCCACCGAGAACGCTCAACGACCTCAGCGATAAACTATAAAACCCTGAACACGCAAGGCGACCGATCAATTGTGACAAATCCAGTTCCAAAATCGTTATGGCCGGACCTCGATGTCTGATGGGGCCCTGATTTCTTCTCCTGCGGTGCATACCGCCTACTACGTGACTGCTGTGTGTGTTAGTGCTATAGTAAGGGGCTTGTGTGGCTGTGTTGCCGCTTGTTCCACTCCACTGTCTTCACACCTTACCATTACCTATACTTTACCTTATTTTTTAGAGTTTCCAAAAACTCTTACTTTTACTTTTACTTTCACTTTAACTTGTACCTTTACTCCACCTTAACTTCTACTTTTACCTTTACTTTACCTTAGACTACCTTTAGTTTTTTAGTTTCCCTGATTAAGTCATGTGTGATATCTTTGGTTGACCCCGTTGTTGTATGTGGTTGTGTTGTACTTCTACCTTTACTTCTACTTTTACCTTTACCTTTACCTTAGCTTACCTTTACCTTTACCTTTACCCTTAGCTTAGCTTGCCTTTGCCTTTGCCTTTACTTTACCTTAGCCTACCTTTACTTTCTTAGTTTCTAATTAAGATTAAATCATGCGTGATGTCTTTGGTTCGCCCGTTGTATGTGGTTGTGTGCACAGGTGATCAGCTATACACGCCCATGTGCCCCACCGCAAAGGACAGGACACGACTGCCTACGATAGAGTACTGGGAATATGCCAAAGCGGTATGTACATTAGCCGAGAGTGCCTGCTCGCATGCTTCTGCCATGTTTGTATTGGTATATTGTGCTGTATTGTATGCGTAATGTATATGATACGTTTACTGCTTGCATGCTTCTGCCGAGTTTGTATAGGTATAATGTGCTGTATCGTATGCGTAATGTATATGTTACATTTACTGCTTGCATGCTTCTGCCATGTTTGTATAGGTATAATGTGCTGTATTGTATGCGTAATGCATATGTTACGTTTACTGCTTGCATGTTCTGCCATGTTTGTATAGGTATAATGTGCTGTATTGTATGCGTAATGTATATGTTACATTTATTGCTTGCATGCGTCTGCCATGTTTGTATACGTATAATGTGCTGTATCATATGCGTAATGCATATGTTACGTTTACTGCTTGCATGCTTCTGCCATGTTTATATAGGTATAATGCGCTGTATCATATGCGTTATGTATATGATACGTTTACATAGAAACATTGGCCATCACCTGCCGGTAGTTATCTTAAGACGAGCCAACCAACGCAACCACGCAGTAGTTTCCACATATCTAGAAACGACAACGTTGTGAGGTTACTTGCGTATGCATTCGACTCTGCTAATATGTGTCACCTTATATAGTATTAGCTTATATAGTATCCTGTGCTGCAGTCGGCCGCTGCATTGTACAGGAGACCGTGGTGCTAGTGATTTGACATTCATCTGTGGTTGTAGTTTTAACATCCATCTTTGTTTGTAGTTTTAACATTCATCTGTGTTTGTAGCTGTAGTACACCCCAGTGCATTAAACGTGTGCATGTTGTTTTTTTTCAGCTGTGTACGTAGCGATGAAGTAACCTTTGTATATGGTGTTATATTCACCTGTGCATGTTGTGTTTGTTTTCAGCTGTGTACGTAGCGATGAAGTAACCTTTGTATATGGTGTTATATTCACCTGTGCATGTTGTGTTTGTTTTCAGCTGTGTAAGTATCGATGAAGTATCCTATATATATGGTGATATATTCACCTGTGCTTGTAGTTCCGCAATCCCTATCGCACTATTATCGAAACAATGCATGTTGGTATCCCAGTCATCCGCTGCTGTTTGTAAACACCGCCTAACACGCGCACAAATGTTGTACTCATGCATACACACACACGCGCGCGCGAACACGAACACACGCATATAGTACTCACATGCATATGTATCACCAAATACTATGCATCCTACACTCTACATCACTCACACACAAACACACACAATAACACGCACACACATATAGTACTCACATGCATATGAATCACCAAATACTATGCATCCTACACTCTACATCACTCACACACAAACACACACAATAACACACTATAACACGCAAACTACACACAACAACACGCACACACATATAGTACTCACATGCATATGGATCACCAAATACCATGCATCCTACACTCTACATCACTCTCACACAAACACATACAATAACACACTACAACACACAAACTACACACAACAACACGCACACACGTATAGTACTCACACACGCACATATACACACAAGAAAACACAATAACACGCACACGCATATAGTACTCACACACGCAAATACACATACAAGAAAACACAATAACACGCACACTACACACACAGGAATTCGGAGCAGACCTTGCGCAGAAGTTGGCGAGTGCACTGAGCGATCCGTCTGTGGCCGTGTTCATGGGCGTTGGGTTGCACAACAATCTCAAGGGCTACCGCGTATGTAAACGTGTATATTTTAAACGGTATATGTACACGTATATATATCTTAAACTGTGTATGTACACGTATATATATCTTAGACTGTGTATGTAAACATATATATATCTTAAACTTTGTATGTAAACATATATATATCCTTAAACTGTGTATGTACACGTATATATATCTTCGACTGTGTATGTACACGTATATATATTTTAAACTGTGTGTATACGTATATTTTAAACTGTGTATGTAAACATATATATATCTTAAACTTTGTATGTAAACATATATTTCCTAAAACATGTATATATCTCAAACTTTGTATGTAAACACTTAAACTGTGTATGCACACATATATATATCTTTAACTGTGTATGTACACGTATATATATATTAAACTGTGTATGTATATAAATGTGTAGACCATTAACTTTACGCCTGTATATGTGTAAACCCTTCGTAAATATGCTACTGTGTATGAACACGTTTGTATGTGTGGGCATTACCTTTCTAAATGTGCTACTGTGCATGCATAGGTTTGCATGTGTGTGTAACCCCTTCGTACGTGTGCTACTGTATATACAGTGGCCATATCCTCTGTGCTCATCCGTAGCGTTGTCTCTATTGTCCTATCCTAGTACTCTGTGCACACGACACAGCACTATACTCACATACACAAACACACACTCTCCAACCACCATTCAACACCACACACACACTATCATACACAGCACACACTCTCCTAACCACCATTCAACACACCACACACACTGACATACATAACACACTCTCTCCTAACCACCATTCCAACACACTGCACACACTAACATACACAAACACACACTCTCCTAACCACCATTCAACACACTACACACACTAACATACACAAACACACACTCTCCTAACCACCATTCAACACACTACACACACTAACGTACACAACACACACTCTCCTAACCACCATTCCACACACTGCACACACTAACATACACAGCACACACCCTCCTAACCACCATTCAACACACTACACACACTAACGTACACAACACACACTCTCCTAACCACCATTCAACACACCACACCCACTAGCATACACTAACACACACTCTCCTAACCACCATTTGACTTCACTCTTCTCAGACTAAATCCATGTATGTCGAGCCCATAGCGACTGAGTGGCAGAAACAGAACACTGCGGCAACACTCATCTGGTTGTCAATGCACGCACAAGACATCGACAAGAAACCGGTGGGTGCAATCAGGAACACACAACGAGCCACATGCACGTACATGCACCTTGTAGCTTATAACTCAGGATTAATAACAAATAACGAACAATTAATACCTAATACCTAATAGCTACTAACTAGTAGCTGATAACTAATAGCTATTAACTTGAACACACAACGAGCCACATGCACGTACATGCACCCTATAACTTATAACTGAGGACTAATAACAAATAACGAACGGTTTCCTAGCAACTCGCAGCTGATAATTAATAACTAATAATTAATAATGATTAACTGTTACATAACTAATAACTAATTAACAACAACTAATCACCCATAGCTATTAACTGATAACAGATAATTAACAACTAATCACTTGTAACATAACTAATAACCAATTAACAGCAACTAATCTTTTATAGCTAATAACTGAAAACTAATAATTAATAACATAACTGTTAACTAATAGCCGATAACTAATCGCTTATAACTTTATTATTTGCTTAAATCCATGGCTAATAACTAGTCCCTATTCACTAATAACGTATAACTGACAACGAAAAATTAATAGCTTATAACTAGTAACTTATAGCTGACAACTAGAAATCAATAGCTTATAACTAGAAATTAATAGCTTATAACTAGTAACTTATAACTGACAACTAGAAATTAATAGCTTATAACTAGAAATTAATAGCTTATAACTAAAAATTAATAACTTATAACTAGAAATTAATAGCTTATAACTAGTAACATAACTAGTTCATATCCTGCGAACACAAGTGTGAGAATGTGCATATGTCTGTGCAACACAACGTTCTTGTGTAAAAATTTATATGTAGCCACGATGAGTATATTACAATTACACACATTGTAGGTTTATGAGTAGTCACGATGAGTGTATTGCGTTTACTTACATTGTACGTTTATGTGTAGTGCATGAGAACTCGCACATGTGTGCCCACTCGCTTGTGCTCTAAACGGTCTGCTGTTATAGCCGTTCTTTTTGCCTAGGTGAAGGCAAACGGTTGTGATGACTTGATGACATATACATTATATGAACAACTCTTCACATATACATACGACCGCAAGTAGCATCATCACATTGTCATTTTGGCATACCGTTAACGCTTAGCCTGTTCTTGTGTGTGTGGTGCTATTGGCGCACAGTGCCATGTACTACCTGTCGTCAGTATATCGTAATATTAAACGTTCATAGTACAACTGGCACAATTACACATACAATGGTCCTGTTCTAGTGCACGCGCTACTAATATTAAACGTTCATAGTACAGATAACACGATCACATATACAATGATTGCTGGACACGCGTTCCAACTTCCTATCACGCATATTTGCACCTGGAATTAAAGATTTAGGGCTTTTAGGGGTTTAGTAGTGTACCTTCGTTAAATATAATTGGACATCGGAACCGAGATGGAGACATATAAATACTATACGTTGCAACAAGCGAGTATGAACATAGGTCTACCCATATGATACGAATCATTCGATATCAACGCATTTCACACGTTGAGTCGTAGTCAACGCCAAAATGACAATGACAATGTACCATCACCAGTCAATGAATGCGAATACCCATTCCGTTTAAACGCTTATAACAGATGAGGTACAGGAAAACTCAGGACAACGACCACGTCCGGGCCTTCAACCGAAATGTCAACACACACGTGGACAACAAGCAGATGCTCGTCTTTGACACGTATGCACTTACAGAGAGCGTGCACACACCCGATGGCACACACTACGGCTACGGCGTAAACGCGATGAAAGCGCAATACATCCTGCAGTGGTTAGAGACAAAAACGTAGAACGTACGCCCTATGAGTAGTATAGAGCGAGAATAAGGAAATATTATTATAAAACAGATAATAATTGTAGTCATTCAAAACAAAAGAATTAATTCAAAACAAAAAAGGAACCTCTTATACAGTGTATGACCGCATACAGACCAACTGGTTGCACGGTAACTCACCGTTAACCTTAAGGTATTGTGTGCTACTTGGCGATCAACCGACCCGTCCATCATTAGATACGATTACTTGTACTTCAATTGAATGCTCGTTTTAAACAGTGATGACGGTGTGCTTCTTCAGGTCATATACACTCAGAATCCTATTGATGTACTTATATATATTATGTACGCACACGTATACTTATGTCACGTGTACACATATGTATACACGTGTGAGCAAATACGTATATATATATATATATATGAATATGTATATGTATATATATATATATATATATATAATACGTAGGTATGTCTGTATATATATATATATATATATATATGTGTGTGTGTGTGTATATATATATATACTATCTATCTATCTATTTATATATATATATATATATATATGTATATATATATATTTATATATATATATATATATATATGTATATCTATATGTATATATATATATATATATATATGTATATATATATATATACTTATATATATATGTGCGTATATACATATATTTATATATATATATATATATATATATATATATATATATATATATATATATATATATATATATATATATATATATATATATATATATATATATATATATATATATATATATATATATATATATATATATATATATATATATATATATATATATATATATATATATATATATAGATATATATAT